GAGCGCCTCGCCACGATCGGCTACTCGACCCCGGCCAAGGACGAGGGGTGGGCGTTTTCGTACGTCTCGTGGGGCGGCCCCGCCCCCGAGCCCGACCAAACCGGGCCCCCCCCCCAGAGTTTCTTCCACCGAACGCGGCGGTTGGGCCGGCAGGGCTATCCGGATCTCACGGCCGGCATCGCCGCCGCGATCGAGCGCTACAGCCGGGAGTTTAACGACCTCACCATGACGCTAATCCCGCCGGTGGTGGGCTGGCTGGCGGGGGTGGATCGCGTCCTCTCGCGCCCGGCGGGGCATCTGATCGTGGTCGGGCGGCCCGGCGTGGGTCGCCGCGATACCATCGTGCTGGCCTCCTACCTCCAGAAGATGGAGGTGGGGACTTTTCCGATCTCGCAGGACTACGGCCTCAAAAACTTCCAGAACGATTTGCGGAACTTCATTCAGAACGCGATCGTGCAGAACATCCGCACCACGCTTATTGTGGAGGAGCACCAACTCGTGGAGGAATCCTTTTTGGAGTTGCTGAACAGCCTGATGAGCTCGGGCGAGGTGCCTGGGCTCTTTACCGCGGAGGAGATGGAGATCATGTACACCCCTCTCCGCGAGGATGCCGCCGTGGACGGGTATATCGGATCCATCGCATCGTACTTTATTGATCGTCTGCAGCACAACTTGCACGTGGCCTTTATCATGGATCCCTGCCATGAGAAGTTTTTGTGGCGTTTCCAATCCAACCCAAGCTTTATTCGATCGTGCGAGCTCCTTTGGATGGGCACGTGGTCCGCGGACACCACCAAAATCATGTGCACGACTCAGATGAAGGAGCAAATAACCTTACTGGAGGCGGATCCGGCTCAGAAAGGATTTCGCCTCCACCGCGAGATGCTTTCCATCCACAACAGCATCCCCAACGCCACCCCGAAGAACTTTGAGGTGCTCATGAAAACCTACAACAAACTCATGGCAAGTCGGAGCAAGTCCAGTGATGACAACATCCTCCGTCTGGAGGCTGGACTGGTGAAGCTCAAGGACGCGGAAGAGAAGGTCGCGATTATTAACAGCGATGTCTCGGCGAAGAAGTCGGCCGTCGAGGCCATGCAGAAGGAGGCGGATGGGTCTTTGAACGAGATCCAGAACAACATCCAAAGCTCCCAGGAGCAGCGTGACCAGGCAACCGAACTGCGGGAGCGAATCCATGAGGAGCAAAAGAATATCGAAATCAACCAAAAGCAATCCGCGGAGGAGCTTAGCAGCATCACCCCCCTCATGGAGGCCGCTCGCGACGCCGTTCGCGCCATTCGCACAGAGCAAATCAGCGAGATGCGCTCGCTCAAGGCCCCCCCGGAGGCGATTCGCGACGTTCTCGAAGGGGTTTTGGTGTTGCTCGGGATCACCGACGTCTCCTGGCAGTCCATGCGGAGCTTTCTCGGCGAGCGCAGTGTGAAGGACCGGATTATCGACTACGACTTGGCCAGCATGACGCCCAAAATCCGCGCCAACCTCACCGCCCTTCTCCGGCAAAAAGCCACCTCCTTCAAACCCGAGGTGATCCACCGCGCCTCGCTCGCCGCGGCCCCGATGGCGGACTGGGTGCGGGCGATGTTTGAGTACTCCAAAATCGCAGACCGCATCGCGCCCCTCACGCAGCAAATCCACCTCCTCGAGACCAACCAGCGCGAGGGCCAGGCGATGCTGCGGGAGCTGGAGGGCAAACTCGCGAAAATCGACAAGTCGGTCGAGCACCACCGCGTGAAGTTCTCCAAAAAGTGCAAGGAGGCGGAGCACCTCCGCGGGAAACTCACCACCGCGGAGGCGGAGCTGGGGAAGGCCCAGGACCTGCTGGGCAAACTCAGCGGCGAGAAAACGCGCTGGGCCCACGACGTCGCGCGGCTGCGCTCCGCGACGGTGTTGATGCCCAAACGCGCGCTCATCAGTGCGGCCTTTATGGCGTACCTCCCCCAGGCCACCGAGGAGGTTCGCCAGTATTACCTCAAGCGGTGGGCCGCGCGGCTGGGCCTGATCGCCGCGCACGACGAGGCCAACCCCGACGCCGTCGACGTCCACTGCGTGCACTTTTTGCGATTAGAAAGCGAGATTCTGCAGTACAAGTCGGAGGGCCTCCCGGGCGACGAGTTGAGCCTCGATAACGCGGTGGCGATGCTGGAGTCGATCCAAACCCCGCTGGTGATTGATCCCACCAACACCGCGCTCGAGTGGACGCAGGCCCATCTACGGCGGCGAAACGTCGTCGTCGAGGTGGCCTCGCTGCACGATAAACGCTTCGCCCACACGCTGGAGTTGGCGATTCGTTTTGGCAAAACGCTCTTGGTGACGGAGGTGAACACGATCGGGGGGATTTTGTACCCCATTCTTCGACGGGATCTGACCTCGTTGGGCGCGAAACGCATTGTGAAGGTCGGCCATAAGGCGGTCGACTGGCAGGACGCGTTTCGAATTATCCTTTTTAGTCGAAGCACCGATCTCCTTCTGCCGCCCTGCGCCGCCGCCTTGGTGATGACGGTGAACTTCTCCGTGACCGCGCGAAGTTTGGAAAGTCAGATCCTCAGCATCACGCTCCACCACGAGCGCCCGGAGTTGGAGTCTCAGAAGGTAGAATTGTTGAAGAAGGAGGAGGGTCTCAAGATGGAGATCACCAAGCTCGAATCCCAGCTCCTCCGGGAGCTCGCGGATTCACAAGGGAACTTTATGGAGAACACACCGCTGATGACGTCGCTAAACACCGTCAAGGCCCAGGCCTCGGTGATTCAAGAGGCGCTGACCGAATCCCACGCCCTGCAGACGGAGTTGGATGAAAAGCGCGAGATCTATCGCTCGTTCGCCCGCAAAAGCTCCCAGATCTTCTTTCTTCTCAAGCGCTTGCAGGAGCTGAACCGGATGTATCAGTTCGGCCTGAATGAATTCTTTGGATTGTTTCGCGAGACTTTGCAAAAGGATAACGTCAATGAGGAGACGGAAGCGGCGGAGGCGACTGCGGCGACGCGGACCGCCCGGCTTCTCGAGGGCCTGGCGCGGCGCGTCTTTTATCACGTTTGCACCGGACTCCTGAAGAAGGACCGCCTGGTTTTTGGTTTGCAGCTTTTGCACGTCCTTTTGCCCGAGGAGTTCCCGGAAAAGGAGTGGGACGCCCTCGTCGGCACCGCAGCGAAGGTGAACCGGGAGGCGGACGCGCCCCCCCCGATGTGGGCCCCGCCGGCGGCCAAACCCCGTTTTGCCGCGTTGGTCGCCAGCGATGTCGGCCAGGAGCTCATCGCGAAGCTTCACACCGACGACGAAGAGAGGTGGGCGCGTTGGATGACCTCCGAAGAGCCGGAGCGGTTCGAGGGGGTGGCGGAGCCGTCGTCCTCGCCGGCGGCGCTGAGTTTGACGGCGCGGCTTCTGTGGATCAGCACCTTCCGGCCGGATCGCTTTTCCGCCCTCGGCCTGCACGTGATCACGCAGGCCCTTCACGTCAGCTCCCTGGTGCCCCCGATGTCGATGGAGGAGATCATCCTCGGCGGCAGCGCCGCACGGGTTCCCGTGCTCCTGGTCACCTCCAGCGGCGCGGACCCGAGCGTGGAGGTGCAAAACACGGCCATCCGCCGCATCGGCAAAGACCGCTTTACCCAAATCGCCCTCGGGGGGGGCGTGACCGAGGAGGCCATGCTGCGATTGCGCTCCTGCGCCGCACACGGGGGGTGGATTTTTTTAAAAAACCTACACCTCGTCCTGGATTGGGCCCCGGTGTTGGAGAACGAGCTCTGTGCGATGCCGGAGCCGCATAAGGACTTTCGACTCATCATTACGACCGAACCACACGAGGCCTTCCCCTCCGTTCTACTGCAGATGTCGCTCAAGATCACCATCGAGGCCCCGCCGGGTGTAAAGCAAAACCTCCTTCGCACCTACCAATTATGGGATCGCGTCTTCCTGGAGGCGCAGTCGACGCCCAAGGCGCAGGCCTTTTTCGCTCTCGCCTGGCTCCACGCGGTGGTGCAAGAGCGTCGGACCTTCGTTCCGCAAGGTTGGACCTCGTACTACGAGTTCTCCATAGCCGATCTCAAAGCCGCCACGGATATACTTCTCCAGCTTGACATCCAGCGAGAGACCAATTGGGAAAGCTTCAAGGGGTTTCTTATGGATTGTGTGTACGGCGGCCG